AGGGGAAGTCTCTCTCTGTTGCTCCTGGGGGAAGGTCCTTGTCATCAATCTTCCCTCATCTTGGAGTGTCTCAGCACAGGAATTCCAGGTCCAAAGGATGCACTCTACTCCTGGCGCTGCTTTCTTGGTGGTATGAGGTCCCCTGTCTTTCTGTTCACTTCTCTCTTTTATGTCTCAAAAGAGATTGACTTAAAACAAAACCTAATCCTGTAGATTGAGTCCTGCCTCATTAACATAACTGTCTCTAATTCTGCCTCATTAACATCATAGAGGAAGGATTTACAATACATAGGAAAATCACATCAGATGACAAAATGGTGGACAATCACACAATACTGGGAATCATGGCCTAGCCAAGCTGACACACATTTTTGAGGGACATAATTCAATCCGTAACATTCCACCCTTTGGCCCCTAAAAATTCATGTCCTTGCCACATGTAAAACACACTCACCCCAGCATATTGTAGCAAAAGTCTTAAATCAACTCCAAGTCCAAAATACAAAAATTCCTCTTCATCTGTGAAATCTAGAATACAAGTTATCTGCTTCCAAAGTACAATGGTGGAACAGGCATTAGGCAGACATTTCCATTACAAATGGGAGAAACTGGAGGGAAAGAAGGGATAACAGATACCAAACAAGTCAGCAGAACACATTATGTTAGCCCTCAAGGCTTGAAAATAAGCCTCTGTTCTATGAGACCATTTAGGCGATGGCTCTGCCCTCCAGAATCTAGGTATTGGCCACTCTCTCCAGATTCTGAGTGGAGGTCCCTTCACCCTGAGCTTCAGCTCTACCTTCCAGGCCCACTGGAAAGGCAACCCTGCACCCGCGATTTGGGGCAGCCCCATTCTCCTAATCCATCTGAATGGTGACTCTACCCTTTGAGACCTCAGAGGTCATAGCCCTACCATATGAGACTGAGGCACCTCTGCTTCATGTTCCTTGTCTCTTCAGCTTCTGCTTCTGGGTTTCTTGGACTCTTGGCCCTTCGAGCCTCTCCACCCATGTCTGCCCTGCTGGGGCAAGTATTCCAAAGCTCTTTAGCTCCACCGATAAGTGGCCAGAGGCACCCGACTCTGCCACAAAGCCTCCTGCACAAAGGCACTCAGCTCTCTCACTCTGTGAGTTGGCTCCAGTGCTGCCTTGTGTCTGTTTCCTGGTTGTGCTGCTGCTGTTTCTCTGCTGCTGCTTCTTGCCGTCTGCATCGTCTCCACTGTAACAGCTCGCCTCACTTCTGACTCCTCACCAGAATTGTCTTTGATGTCCCATAATTCCACCAACAATCTCTTCAAGGCAATCTAGGCTTTTACTACTAGGCACTTTAAAACTCTTCCAGCATCTATCCATTCACAGTATCAAAACTGCTTCCACATTTTAGGTATCTGTTAGAGCAGCACCCTACTATTCCAGTACCAAATTCGTCTTAGTTATCCAGTGCTGCTGTAAGAGAAATATCACAAATGGATGGCTTTAACAAACAGAAATTTATTCTCTCACAGCTAAGAGGCTAGGAAGTCCGAATTCAGTGTGCCAGCTCCAGCGGAAGTCTCTCTCTCTCTGTGGGCTCTGGGGGAAGGTCCCTGTCATCAATCTTTCCCTCATCTAGGAGCTTCTCTGCTCAGGAGCTCAAGGTCCAAAGGACACACTCTGCTCCCAACACTGCTTTCTTGGTGGTATGAGGTCCCCCTGACTCTCTGCTTGCTTCTCTTTTATATCTCAGAAGAGACTTGACTTAAGACAAAACCTAATCTTGTAGATTCAGTAGTGCCTCATTAACATAACTCCCTCTAATCCTGCCTCATTAACATTACAGAGGTAGGATTTGTAACGCATAGGAAAATCACATCAGATGACAAAATGGCATACAATCACACAATACTGGGAATCATGTCCTAGCCAAGCTGACACATATTTTGGGGGTACACAATTCAATCCACAGCAAACTTAATGACATGTCTCTAGCCTCCATTCCTATAGCTAGCCTTTTCCACACTTTTAATCAGGAAATTGAATAGAGACATTGATGCTACATGTATCAGATCGTGGCAACATGACATTAGAAGCTGTCATGGATTGAACTGTATCCCCCAAAAATATGTACCAACTTGGTTAGGCCATGATTCCCAGTACTGTGTGGTTGTCCTCCATTTTGAGATTGATATAATTTTCCTATGTGTTGTAAATCCTAATCTCTGCCTGTGGTTAATGAGGCAAGATTAGATTATGTTAAAGAGGATTAGGGTGGGATGTAACACCCTTGCTCAGGTCACATCCCTGATCCAATATAAAGGGAGTTTCCCTGGGGTGTGGCCTGTACCACCTTTTATCTTATATGAGATTACAAGAAAGGGAAGTGAGCAGAGAGTAGAGGACCTCATACCAAGAAAGCAGTACTGGAAGCAGAGCACATCCTTTGGACCCGGGGCTCCTGCGCAGAGAAGCTCCTCAACCAGGGGAAATTGATGACAATGACCTTCCTCCAGAGCTGACAGAGAGAGATAGCCTTCCCCTGAAGCTGGCACACTAAATTCAGACTTCTAGTCAACAGGCTGTGAGAGAATAAATTTCTTTGTTAAAACCACCTACTTGTGGTATTTCTGTTTATAGCAGCACTAGATAACTAAGACAGAAGGTACAGGAAACACATGAGTTATTGGACATTTTTCTTTTCAATCCAATTCGATCTTTATTTTTTTTTCCACTCAAGGTAATTTTGGCACTGTTACTATGCAACTAAATAAATGTTTCTTAACATTCACTACTTTTTCTTTTATATAAACCTAGCCCCATTTTTTTCGTTAAAGAGGGTTTTCTGTTCTTTCCCTTAGTGTTATGATTTTATACTTAATCCTCTGGATTTCTCTTTAATTCTGGCTTTCCTCATTTCTTCTTTATTCACAGCAACTGTCTCATAATGCTTAAACTTCCAGTACAGCAATAACCTGTGGACTTCCAACTCTGTCTACACATTTTCAAATTTCCTATAAATGTCTTCACCTGCACATACTTCCTAAGCTTCTTGTCAGTCGCTAAATCAGTAGAACCGACCTCCTTTTTCTTGTTTCTGGAGTCTGATGGAGATCCTCATAAATAAAAATTACTCTGAGGCTGTAATTTCAGGCTCAGAAGTAAACAATTCCTATCACCCCTTCAGCCTTGAGTTCTGAAGCCAATTAGAAAACACACAAGCAGTTGTTAATCTGAGGGGTAGGGGTGCATCTCTCCTGTGCAATCTCTGAAGGACAAAAGAGCTAATGGACAGTTAGCTAGTTGGATACTCGGACTGGACCAGGATATAAAGCCCATTCACAGGAAAATCACTGGTAAAAGAGAAAGGTTGTCTCTGAGGGAACTGCTGGGCTAACAGTAAGACTTTGAGAAAGTGACCTGATCTCTAAAACTCTGTGCCTTTAATTGTAAAAAGCCCTTAAAAGCCCTACTAAACTCTGAAATACTATGTCTAACAGTTTTGTGTTTTCTTCTAAGTTGTAAGAAGGAAATTCTTGCTAATGTAGGTGTCATATATCTTAAACCCTATGCAAACGCAAACTAAGGTCATATTCTTTTCCTAAGAAGGTATCGGTACTTCATCACTTAGTTATCTAGTGCTGCTGTAACAGAAATAAAAGTGGATGGCTTTCACAAACATAAATTTATTTTCTCTCAGTTCAGGAGGCTAGAAGTCTGAATTCAGAGCGCTGGCTCTAGGGGAAGGTGTTCTATGTCCTATCTGGGGAAATGTCCTAGTCTCTTCTGAGCCTCTGTTCCTAGGTGATTTTCATGTGGCTTAGCATCTCTGTTTCCCCATCTCTGCTTGCTTATTTGTTTAATCTCTTTCATATATCAAAAGAAACTGACTCAAGACACATCTTAAACTAATCCCGTCTCATTAACATAACAAAGACAACCCATTCCCAAATGGACTTACAACCACAGGCATAGAGGTTAGGAATTACAACACATATTTTTGGGGGATACAACTCAATCCATAACAATCACCAACTTCATCACATATATAACCTACTGTATTTGACAAGTGAGATAAAGAATTGTCAAGATCAGACAGGGTCAGCAGGAGACAGAAATTACCCCAGTTATTTAAACATACAAGTGAGGATGCCGAGACTTCGTCTTACGAACTCTGGACATGTTATCAGGAGGGACCAGTCCCTGGAGAAGGACATCATGCTTGGTAAAGTAGAGGGTCAGTGACAAAGAGGAAGGCCCTCAAGGAGATGGACTGACACAGTGGCTGCAACAATGGGCTCAAATATAGCAACGATCATGAGGATGGCGTACGGCAGGCAGTGTTTCATTCTGTTGTACATAGGGTCACTATGAGTTGGAACAGACTCAACTTGACCTAACAATAACAACAATTTAAACATAAAGAACTTAATATAAGGGATTGTGAACCAAGTATTGGAGAACTGAAAAGTTAAGAAGGGGACACTGAGGTATCCTAGCAGGAAGCAGTTATCATTCCTAGGGTTTGGTAAACAAAGGGAAGAGACTGAGTTATTACAATTTAGAAGCTTGGAGAAGGGATCCCCCAGAGCTGGGATCTAAACTAAACTAAAATAAACTGCTGCTACTTGAGTCAACTGTCACTGCCAGGGTGAAGGACCTCTGCTGCAGTGATGTAGACTGGAAATGGACGTTCATTCTTCCTCCTTCAGCCTTATAGCCTCTTTCTAGCAACCCTACAGGCAGACATCAGCAAGGAGCCACCAGGAAAAGAGAGAAGTCCCTGGGTGGTGCAGTCAACACACTTGGCTGCTACCTGAAAGGTTGGAGGTTTGAGCCCACCAAAAGGTACTGCAGACGAAAGGCATGGTAACCTACTTCCAAAAATCCTATGGGGCATCGTTCTATTCTGGCACACGTGGAGTTGCCATGAGTCAAAATCAACTCAAAGGCATCTGGTGTACAACTGATATAGTAAAAGAGAAACGTGGTTTACAAAGTCTCTGCCCATATGGTACATATGCCCACCTTGATCTTTATCCTCGAGTCAGGAAGTTCATTTTCATGGCAGCATCTCCCATCATCATAACCAGTCTACAGAGGGCAGGCACCACAGAGATTTTCAAAAATACCAGTTTCCTCTCAATAATGTATTTCTCAATGCCTTTGTGAAAAGTGTGTCCTCTGGGTCCTTTCAAAGGATGCAGTAGAGGGGTGGGGATGCATGTTGTATTTAATAAATCCATTCCTTTCCATTCCTATCTTCCTAAGCCTTTAGATTCCTTCCTTATTATGCAAGAAAAAATCTGCCATTTTGACCTTATTAAGTATAGGGTACCACTGAGTCCACATTTTGGTAAAGCAAACAAGCATGAGCTAACATGTTAGATCCGGAATTTCTAGAGAGTACACCTATATCAATAAATTTGATCTGATCTAGTGTTAGATTGCATTCTCCTTGGCCTAACATCCTTAAAATCCATTCTCACACATATTCCCCAGATTTCCACTGATACAAATCAGCAAACTACTGCACTTCTTTTGGAGGATAAGCTATTTCCAACCAGGTCAGATTTTGTTCCTTTCCTGTGGAACATGAAGAGATCTGACCCTAGCAATGGGCCTAGTGGCAAAAGGTAGTAGAGATGGGTCTTGAGTATTCCTTTGCAAGTCAACTGCCCAGGTGAGATTATTACAGGATCTTCAAGCAAGAAAGGGTTAGTTTTCACAGACATGGGAGGTAGGCTGCTTCCATCAATAACGGAGGCTCAGAGCGACAGGGTTTTAAGATTCTCAGCTTTGTCCAAGTCTACCTAGATGTCCCCGTTCCAAATCTCAGGGTTCCACTTTTTCCCAACATCCTAAATAAGACACCGACAACTCGTTGCCGTCATGTCGACTCTGACTCATAGCGACCCTATGGGTTAGCAGCCAAAGCCCTTAATCACCAACAAGGTTGTGTAGTTCTACTACTAGCACAATTAAAATTATGCTCCATTTTTAGTGAGGCTGGCCCTGTTGTTGTTAGGTGCTGTTGAGTCACTTCTGACTCATAGCGACCCTATGTACAACAGAATAGAACACTGCCCACTCCTGTACCATTCTCCCAGTCGTTGCTATGTTTGAGTCCATTGTTGTAGCACGGTGTCAATCCATCTTGTTGAAGGTCTTCTTCTTTTTCACTGACCCTCTACTTTACCAAGCCTGATGTCCTTCTTCAAGGACTGGTCCTTCTTGATAACATATCCAAAGTACATGAGATAGAGTTTCACCATGCTTGCTTCTAAGGAGCATTCTGGCTATACTTCAACCAAGACAGTTGTTTGTTCTTCAGGCAGTCCATGGTATACTCAATATTCTTCACCAACAACATAATTCAACTGCATCAGTTCTTCTTTGGTCTTCCTTATTTATTGTTCAGCTTTCACATGCATATGAGGCAATTGAAAATATCATGGTATGGGTCAGGCACACCATAGTCCTCAAAGTGACATCTTTGCTTTTTAACACTTTAAAGAGGTCTTTTGCAGTAGACTTGCCCAATGCATTAGATTTTTGACTTCTGCTTCCATGGGCATTGATTGTGGATCCAAGTAAAGTGAAATACTTGACAGCTTCACTGTTTTCTGTTAATCATGATATTGTCTGTTGGTCCAGTTGTGAGGATTTTTGTTTTCTTTATGTCGAGATGTAAACCGTACTGAAAGCTGTGGTCTTTGATCTACATTAGTAAGCGCGTCAAGTCCTCTTCACTTTCAGTAAGCAAAGCTGTGTCATCTGCATATTGCAGGTTGTTAATGAGTCTTTCTCCAATCCTGATGCCCCGTTCTTCACACAGTCCAGCTTCTCAGGTTATATGCTCAGCATACAGACTGAATAAATATGGTGAACGGATACAACGCCAATGCAGACTTTTTCTGATTTTAAACCACATAGTATCCCCTTGGTCTATCTGAATGACTGCTTCTCAGTCCACATACAGGTTCCACAGAAGCACAATGAAGTGTTCTGGAATAACCATTCTTCAAAATGTTATCCATAATTTGTTACAATCCACACAGTCAAATGCTTTCACACAGTCAGTAAAACACAGGTTTTATTTCTGGTATTCTCTGCTTTCAGCCAAAATCCATCTGACAACAGCAACGATAATCCCTCATTCCATGTCCTCTTCTGAATTCAGCTTGAATTTCTGGCTGTTCCTTGCTGATGTACTCCTGCAACCGTTTTTGAATTATCTTCAGCAAAATTTTACTTGTGTGTGATATTAATGATAGTGTTCAATAATTTCCACATTCTCTTAGATCACCTTTCTTTGGAATGGGCACAAATATGGATCTTTTCCAGTTGGTTGGCCAGGTAGCTGTCTTCCCAATTTCTTGACATAGATGAGTGAGTACCTCCAGCACTGCATTCATTTATTGAAACATTTCAATTGATAATCCGTTAACTCCTGAAGCCTTGTTTTTCGCAAATGCCTTCAGTGCAGGTTGGACTTCTTCCTTCAGTACCGTCGGTTCTTGATCATATGCTACCTTCTGAAATGGATGACCATCAAACAATTCTTTTCAGTACAGTGACTCTGTGTAGTCTTTCCATCTTCTTTTGATGCTTCCTGCATTGTTCAATATTTTGCCCATAAAATCCTTCAATAGTGCAACTTGAGGTTTGAATTTTTTCTTTAGCTCTATCAGCTTGAGAAATGGCGAGCGTGTTGTTCCGTTCTGATTTTCTAACTCCAGTCTTTGCACATTTTGTTATAATACTTTACTTTGTCTTCTCGAGCATCCCTTTGAAATCTTCTGTTCAGCTCTTTTACTTCATCATTTCTTCCTTTCACTTTAGCTGCTCTATGTTCAAGAGCAAGTTTCAGAGTCTCTTCTGACATCCATTTTGATCTCTTGTTTCTTTTCTATCTTTTTAACAACCTTTTACTTTCTTCATGTATGATGTCTTTGATGTCATCCCACAACTTGTCTAGTCTTTAATCATTAGTGTTCAATGCATCAAATCTATTCTTGAGATGGTGTTTAAATTCAGGTGGGAAATACTCAAGATCATACTTCGGCTCTCATTGACTTGCTACAATTTTCTTCAGCTTCAACCTGAACTGGCATATGAGCAATTGATAGTCTGTTCTGCATTTGGCCCCTGGACTTGTTCTGACTGCTGATACTGAGCATCTCCATCTTCTCTTTCCACAGACGTAGCTGATTTCATTTCTGTGTGTTCCATCTGGCGAGGTCCACGTGTATAGCTGCTGTTTATGCTGTTGAAAAAAGATATTTGCAATGAATAAGTGGTTGGTCTTGCAAAATTCTATCATGAGATCTCTGGAGTCATTTCTATCACCAAGAACATATTTTCCAACTACCAATCCCTTCTTCTCTGTTTCCAACTTCACATTCTGATCACCATTAATTATTAACGCATCTCGATTGCATGTTTGATCAATTTCAGACTGCAGAAGCTGGTAAAAATCTTCAGTTTCTTCATCTTTGGCATTAGTGGTTGGTAAATAAATTTGTGTAATAGTTGTATTTACTGGTCTTCCTTGTAGGTGTATGGATATTATCCTATCACTGACAAAGTCAGGCTTTGAACCTAGGTCTGTCT